TTTTGTGTCTGTATGTTCCTGGATTCCAGAGACAAGTCTGTAAACATGTTAAAATTTTGTCGGAGTGATCAAAGTGAATGAAAGAACAAAAGAAGAACAAAGGGAGCGTCCTTGTTGCGGAATCCGTTTACAATGCACAAAATGCACAGTTTGGCCTCGTAATGCTAGATTCGTTCAAAGTTAATCTATCAAAGTTTTAATGTTAATTTGTCTAACTAACATAAAAAATGTAAAATGCATTTTTATTTGCGCGTTTGTATGAATTGCATTTTTGTACAGAATTTTTTTTCAGAACCAATACATACTTGGGTATGTATGTCTCATGAGGGGATTCTGCGGTTGATCCAATAACTAAAACAAAAGTAACATGTTCGAGGCTCAATATTTTTTTGTGGGGTAATTTCTGGATGTATTTCTGCCTCGTTTTCGTTCTGATTTAGATTAATTTCGGTTAGCTCGCATTTCATGCGTAAATTAACCGTAATAATCGGAAAATACAATTCAACAAAGAATAACGAACTGCCATAAATTTCGGTATTTAAAGCAAAATTCAATGTCATAAAATACGCAAATTGACAACTTATTCAAATCAGTTTTAAAACAGCGCCCTAAAAACTTGTGATCGTTGTTTCGATCATTCCTCTGAATGTGTTCCTACCCTGTACTTAGTTTATCAGAAATTTCATAAAATACTATCTTGGTTTTTCTCGCTATGATTTCTAGCGAGAAGAACCTCGCCCAACATCAGAGCGAGAAGAGGTGGTGAGACCTCAACGGTCAACCGGGTCGGCTCTTTTACCCAGGAACTGCTCCCGGTCCTGGTCGGCGGACCATTTTTCTGCCTCGTTTCGGTTTTGATGCAAATCTGTTTCGAATTCATATATTAGGTGAATTAACTGTGATTATAGAAAATTACAAGTCAACAAAGAATAGCGAACTGCCTTTGATTTCTGTATTTAAAAGCAGTATTCGATTTTATAAAACCAGCGAAATGAAAACACACAGAAATCAAAACAGCGCCTGAAAAACTTGTGAACTTTGTTTTGATCTTTCAATTGACTTTTTTCACACAGTTTTTTGTTCATCAGAAATTACTTGAAAGGTTTCAAAGTTTTCCTAAGGGCTCCTGATAGTCTCTAATAATTGTAGGCATCGATTATTTGACTCAGCTATAACTTATGCCAATTTTTTTCCTTTAGGGTTTAAAACTTAATCTGGTTAATTTTGGATTTTGAGTTGGAATATTGGTAATAATTTGGATCGCTTTTCATTTTTTCTTTTCGGAATCGTTTGCAAGACTTTTCATGTTTATATGCTTCAGTTCGGTAAAACCAACCATCAAATCTCAATTTCTTTCAAAATACTTGAAAAACCAAGGCTTTTTTGGTGAGCTTTTTTTCACAAAAAGGTGAAAGTTTTTTTTCTAATTACAATTAAATGTGAGATAAAATGCCATTCATGGCAAGTTTTATTCTGCCACTTGTAATTAATTTGAAAATCGGGATGAAAATTGTTTTAACTGCGTTTTAAAGCGAAGCTTATATGAACGTATGAATCAGAATGAATTCGAATGTGCATTTTTTTAAACCCATTTTCTCAGCTCGTATTCATGTTTTGCACACGTTCGAATCGTTTTATATTTGCGATTAGCTGTGATACTGCAACTAGTTACCTGAATTTTATCCTCCGTTGAATTTTTTGCGAGCAGGCAGTTGCGGATCTGGAACGGCGCACGCACTCCTCCTCCTCCCTGCCCTCAAGGATTCGATCCCTGGACGACCTAAAAGTTCCCCTTTTGGTACTATTTTATGACATCCGATTTCGCTGACCAACACTAAAACTTTTTTAAAGGCGCCCATTATTTTTTAATTTTTAGGGGAATGCGCGACGTCAAAATTTTCCGAAAGCGCCTAAAAACTCTTCTATTGCTTTAGTATACTGTGAAGAGTTCGTTCCGTAGCTCTCCACATTGTTTTTGATTCCATGGACACACAGTGACAGCAGGTAAATGTTTATCCACATCATTTAATTTGGGATTGTTCGCTTTTGCAGCTTCGAACAGCTCAAATCAATTAGCAATTCTAATAGATTACCCTTGAACTTCGGCAGCCTAATAACAGAACGCTTGAAATCTTTTATGTTTTAATAAAATGCGTTGTTGCTTGTGTTCTGATGAGTACAGCGGAAATCGCGATTGACTGAGTTGCGATTCTTGAACACAGTCGATCCGTCGAATGCATGTTGAGGCCGTTAGCCGGAGTCTGTTGCCGTTGTAGTGATGGATTCAATGGATATTGATCGTTTCTAGAGAACTCCAGGTTTTCGCAGGAACCAGGTTGATAGTATACAGAATCGCATTGTCGTTTATGCAGTCAGCCATGGAAAATGTTGCATCGTTCTCGAATTCTCTGTCATACTGTTTTTTCCCTGAGTAGTGTAGTCGTAGTGTGTGTGCTGGCGAATTGCAGAAGGGTTAGATGGCACAGTTATTCTATAGTATCGAAACTAAAGGCTGCCCTAGAAACATTGTACGTGTTGTAAGTTCTGGTGGAAGTTCGAACGTGAATACCACTGCTGGCTGGGATCAAATGCGAAGATAGTTGTAGAGTACAGTGACTGGGGGAGTCATCTATCTGTATCTCAATATCATGTTTTTCGTATCGTCGCATTTGTTTGATTAGCAAACATTTGCAGCTTCATAGCGAAGAATTATCATTTGTAAGATTTTGCTCGTCTGCAAGAGGAAACGAAGTTATATCATCTGCCAATCTTGTAATTCTTGCAGGCATTTGAAAAAGTCCTTAGTGGTTATTTTTACATTCTCTAATTAAGTAGCGTTTTGATTGCTAAGTTGTCGTTCAAGGCTTCAAAAAAAATTTAACGAAACTTCCATTTTTTATGAGCGCTTGTTGTGAAACTTTTGGAGCCATCGTCGAAGTCGTAAAAAGATTATAGGAATGGTTAATTAATGTTAAAAGAGAAGTTTTGATATGGAAGGAAAATAGCTTTGGGTATCAATTGTTTTTTGTCGACAGAAAAATTACGAACGGTCCTGTTGGCACTACGAGCGTGCGTAATTTGTATAGGGTTTTAATAAGCTATGAAGTATCAAGTGTTTTTGATAGTTAGAATTCTAGCAGTGAAACTTGGCTGAAAACACAGTTTTACGTTTTAAATGAGATGAGAAAACTTTTTTGAACCTCACTGATCAAGTTATAAAAGGAAATCTTACGCTCCTCTGGGCGTTCTTATTTTTTGTACAAGTTTTGAGAAATTTTTTGGATTGGTATATTACATTGATTTCATTTTTTTTTTCAGTTATCAACACAGTGTCATCAGGGTACGTTTTTAAAACCAAATCTACCTTTGCACCCCGAGGATTAACAATTCAGAATGCAAGGTATGATACAAACTATAGGTTGTGAAATAGCACAATGAATTAGATCGGTGCAAACATTGCACAGTGGTTTTGAATTTTGAGCCAAAACAAACAAAATTTTTTTATCTGGCCTGAATTTAATGTTGCTTCTGAGCAGCTGAAAGGACCTCTTCAAACAACTGGGGGGACCTCTGCGACAGTCCTGAACACCCAGGAGGACCATCGAGGATTTCCTGAACAGCTGGGGGGGGCTTTGAGACAGTTCTTGTAGTAGCCTGACTTGCCGCCCGGAGAAAGGGATGACTTACCCTTGATCGCGTGGTAGACTGCTGGCTCGGGCTTCTGAGATTGTCCTGAACAGCTGAGTGGCTGAATTGTCACTGGTGATGTGAGGGGGACGCACATTCCTGGTTGCTGACTTCGAAAATTTGTCACTTTTTTGGTCGCCAAGTTCTTAAGACTGAAGATACCAATGTCTTAAATTGTTCGTTACCTTGTCAAAAGTCAATTTTTACATCATCCAAAACTGTGACCAAACTACGGTAGTTTATGAAATATGAACTGGAAGTTACTGCCTTTTCAAGCTATTCATATGAAAGATTATTCACATCTATTCTAGAGCTCCTTCCGTCGTGATTGCGATTCAAAACAAAATTTTTGCGGGGAAAAACTGGCCTGACTTTTGCTGCTCAGGCTGATTTAAAGCTGGACGAGTGGATGAAAGGGTTGATGTCGCGTTCTGCTATAGGTTGCTGAAGTTAAATTTGTTTAGATTAGTTATGGCTACTTGTTGAAACTGAGTTTTAATAGTTTCCCGCTTTCCAAAGATTTCAAAAAATTCCAAAAGAGTACAGAAATATTTTTCGTTTTTGTTTAGCTATTCCTGTCATCGCAACATGATGCGCTACTTGCTAAGCAACTGGCTACCGTTGTTCATTTTCTGAATTTCATTTTTAAATTTAAATTTGTTGCCGAGTCAGAACATTTGTTCAATCGCCGATAACTAATTCGGAAGTTGCGGAAGATTTTTCGACACAGTTGAGCTTTGGATCGGAAATTTTTTTAAATGTAATTGTGACAGACTTTTTAAAGTGAACGTTCTTATTCAATATTTGAATACTTCCTTTGAAAGACAAAGTTTTCACTCAAAATATTCTGTGCACTTCACACTAACCATATGCTCTTTTTACTACAACTTAGTTTTGCTTAAAATCTTTTCGTATTTTGTTTGTTTACAAAAACTGAGAAAAACAGTTTTTTTTTCGTTTTTTGTCTCGAGTTTTTGATTTTCGAAGTCGAAGTGTGGTAAAACATCTTTCATTCACCACTTTGGAATAAATTACGTGATATTTTACCAATTTGTATGAAAGATTTGCTTTGAAAAGTTGATTGTTGAGCTTTTTAACTTTTCACGTGCTTCGAAAAAAAGTTATTGTACTTTTGAACATATTGCTTTGTGCGTAAAATGTTAAAGCTGTGGGTTGCTTAGACCATCAGGCGCCGATATCTTCTGAGTCTAATGGTCTCTTTTGGCAAGCAAAACATGCAAAAATCAGGCGTTCAGTTTAATTAAAAGACTCAACTTCTACTTTTCAATACAATTCCAAAAGCTTACCAATCTCAGTCAGCAATTAAAACCATCGAAGCGAGAGCAATTGTAATTGGTAAACGTGATTTGCCATCTATGGTCTCTTTTCAACTACTCAACGGCCATTTTTTATTTTATTCTTCATTCTTTGAGTTTTTTGCCAGTTGGTTTCTGTGAGCTTTTTGAAAAAAGTATCTGTTTGAGAGAAGAACGAACCGAACGCAATTATGGTAAGTTTCAGTTTTCATAAATCTGATAATGGTTTTAGCAATTTTATTTTCATAGGTCGGATGTAAACCGGCTCCTGTGTTGTTTTTTTATTATTATATCTTATTCTTTTCCTTGAAAAATATACTTTAAAATTTGAATTTGGTCCTCGAACAAAATCGAATCCTGTGTTGTTTGAGGCGACCATTTTAAATAACTGAGTCTGAAAAAAATACACATTTCTTAGTTCCGTTAGTGTTCTGTGCCAAAGTATATCCCAATAATAAACATAAAAACGAATAAAATAGGTTTATTAATTCTGAAAGAGAGAATTACTGAATGAGAATAAATTAATTAACTGAATTTAATTTTATGTTTTTATATTTTGTTAACATATTATTAATTTAGTATAAATACGAATTATAATAAAAAGTCGCGGGGAAAATGATGTTTTTTGTTTCAGAATTTGGCACTGAGTTTGGTCGTTCTGGCCTTGTGCTGTTTTACCGGATGGTGTGGTGCAGGAACCGCTGATTTGAGTACGTTGTTTTCCCTCTTTCTTTGTTCTCCCTCATTTTTTTTTCACCTATCGAGACTAAATGAGTGTAAATTAAAAAAAAACATGCGTTTGCCATAAATTTTCTTCCAGTCAGCTGAAACGACCTATCGAAGCACTGTATAAGAAATTCAGCAATGCGATATTTTTAAGAATCATAGACAAATTTTTTCCGGTTTGCGAGCTTTTATATATCGGAGAGAGCTTTCATTTAAGTTTGGCATGTTAAACGACAAAAGCGATGATAAATAAAAGAAAAAAAAAGGAAGAATTAGGAATCTGAGCGAATCTGTGTTAGGAAGCTCAAATGTTATAAGTATCCAAGGAAACGGCGTGACAAACAGTGATGTTTAAAGCACAGAATTGTTATAATTTGAATTTGATTTGTTTTAATTAATAAGAACGTGAATTTAGTTCTCAGGTTTGCTTTCAATTCAAAACAATTTGTTTCCAATGACCCTGTCATTCTAGTATGAAAGTAGGGACGGATTTTTGAAGTGGACGCGCGCCAAAAAAGGAGAATCTTTGGTCAAAACTTTCCAAAAAAGCCTAAAACTGCATTTTTGGCCCGTTTTTTTACAGAATTGCCTGCGGTGCATTTTTTTTGTCAAAATGGGTTCTCAAAAATGTATTTGATCGACTTAAAAAAAGGTCCACGAACATTAAAAAGTTTAATAAATATCCGACCTGTTTCAGTCATTATTTGGATTCAAAAAGGTATTCAGTTGTTACAAAAAATGAGTGGTTCGTTGTATTAATTCCGACCACTCTCTAAAGGGTTGATTTTCCCGCCGGATTTTAGGTACCCGAAAAAAGTATGTATAGGGTCAAATGTGGTATCAAGCTCTTTTTATCGTATTTCAAAGAGCAAAAAGATTTTTCAAAATAGTTGTCTCAGGGTCAAAATCATATTTAATTAAGTTATTATTTCGAAAAAATTTTTGCGATTCATAGTAATGACGCAAATTCGAAGGAAAAAGAAAAGTCGGCTGCTGCGCAAAAAGCACACCATATTTTGATCTTTAAAAACATTGAAAAAAAACTGGAATTTGGAGATTTTTCTTTTTCAAAGTGAGATGATGAATCAAACGATTATAATAAACTGTTCAATATAATTTCAAGATGTGACGATGTTGCTTCTTTTGTTTGCAATTGAATTGCTGTTGCAGATCTGACGAGTTACGGGCTTCCAGAGGCAACTTTCGCAGGCAGCTGTAATAGTCAACAAGGAACGTTTGTGGACAGACAATTCGAGGCTACCTGCTTTCCTAGGTAAGCTGCTTTCTAGGCGCTACTTACTAAAGACTGAAGCAAAGAGAAAACAAGACTGCTCGTATCAGAGCGAAGCCCTGAATGACCCGACTGCCTCTTAAGGTCGGATCAGTAATAACATGAACAAAGTAAATGTAATGAATAAAAATGATTTTTTTTTAAATTTGATTTAATTTGTGAAAATCGTCTACTCACACGCCAATCAAGTACAAATTGATAGATTTTGCTCCTAATAACAAATCGACTATGGCAAAAGGCTGATTTCAACCAATTTGGAACGATTTTTAGAAGGTTTAAATTTCCGCTTACGCTTTAATATCGCGGGTTAATTGTCCTCGATTGGCCACAATAGCAGCCTTTAAACCCCCATAACTTAGCGAAAAATGATCACAAGTGAAATATCTTTTCAAATTTAAGCTCAGGAGAACAATATGTTTTGAATGATATCAAAACTATATTCCTTACTTTCGTTAGGAAAGTCGGAACAATAATAATAGAAAATTTCAGCGAATTATTAGCCACATGCCGCAATTATAAACTGAATGGAACGATGAACGCAATTAATGTATCCGAATATTCCGACTGCTTTTTAGCGTAGCTGAATTAATATTCGTTGAACACTACGCAATGCCAAAGCATTTTAATTATTTTAGCCAAAGTTCAAAGTGAAGGGACATTAGTAAGAACTAACGTTTCATTTTAATACGCCTAACTTATTTCATTAATTAAAATAGGTTTTTTTTCGGTGTCTTTTTGTTTTTCAAAGTAACGGAATATTTGTGCTCGGGGTGGTTTTTTTTCAGACAAATTTGGACTTTTTAACTAGCCATTTTGACGGAATTTTTAAATATGATTCAAAAGGTATTGTTGGCTTGAGCTGAAATTTGAAAAGATTTTTTAGCTGTGATCATTTTCCGTAAATTTATGGGGGTTTAAAGATTGAACTACTTTGGGACAATTAACGCGCGATATATTTCGCGCTATTAACGCGTAAGCGGACATTTAATCCGTCATAGAAATCGTTCCAAATTGGCTGAAAGAAGATTTTTTGCCATAATTGATTTGTTACAAGGAGCGAAATCAGTTCTTTCGTAGTTTATATGGCGTGTGGGGGATGATTTTTATAGAAACTCTTTTTTGTTATTACATTGAATTTGTTAATGATATTTATGTTATTACTGCTCCATAAAATTTAAAAGGCAGTCGGAACATTCAGGGCTTCTCCCTGATACGAGCAGTCTTGTTATTGTTTGCTACTCGTTTGTTCACGAAAATTTAATAATTCAGCCGCTCACAGTAAGTGTTTTTTGCAGTAAGTCTGCACAACAATGAAGACGTAAGCAATCCATCAACTAACTGAATTCCTTAAAGACTGTTTTGTCCACGAGGGAAATGATCAACATACAAGCTGTTCATCTTTTACCGAGAACCGCTTTTATGTCCCTCTTTAATTATTACATGCAGTCTATGTGTTTGATTATTTTGGTCTGAAGATTCTTGCCTCACTCGGATGCACAGACAGGGATGGGCCTCGAACCACCGACCTTTCGACTGAGAGGTGGAGTGTAATGTCGTTGACATTATCAATGTGGAACTTTCCATATCTGTAGTTGAACATATCTTATTATTGAATATATTTCGAAATTGAAACTTTCCTAAGTTCATGTTATGTAGTATATTTGCAGATGTATCTATTTACTGCATATTGAAGTAAATCACTTCGGCCGAGTCCACCCATAGATCGGGTGCTACTATTATAAAGATAAACTCTGTGTTTTCTAACAGTATTTTTTAAAGAGAAGAACAACGCAAGGCCTTACCGTAAAACTATCTGAAATGGACAAATTCGCATATACCCCATAGCTCCTTTTTATCACCTCAAGAAAGGATTTTAAAATTGATCTTTGACATTTATTAATCGAAAACAGTTGAATACATTGAACGTAATACGTCAAATCAAACTACAAACCATATCAGGGGACCGATCGTTTAGCAGACCAATCTTTTAGCATAAAAAGTGAAAAAGGAGTCTTTTACCAGACCAACGTAATAAAGTGATGGATGATTGATTGGCGGATTCAAAAAGACGCTCAGTCTGGGGCCAAGCTTCCCCAATTCATACAATTAGCTCGCAATTTGTAAACAAAATTATCGGGGAGGGTTCTCATGCTTGAAGGACTGAATGGTTGAAAAATTTCAACCAATCAAAACCGCTAAGCGTCTCTATTGGCTAAATGCCTTTCTCACAAAATCGAAGTCAATATTAACAGAAAATGTATTAAATCAGTGGAAAATATTCAAAAATATTACAAATTGCGGGTTACAACCGCAATACTTTTGAGATACTCATCAAGATTAATGAGGTCAAAGACATTAGAATTTTTCAGTCTTGAAAACTCATCTGCTTATTATCTAATCGGTCAATATTAACACTAATGGCCTGAATTTATTTTCTTACTTTGAGGTTTTCGCGATTTACTTTGATATTTTGAATACTGATTGGCTCAAAGTAAGCTAAAATTAATTTCAAGCATTCGGTCCTTCAAGCACGAGGGACGCCACCAAAATTATCCACTTCAAAAACACAACAGTCTAAATTAGCGGCAAAACAAAGGTTTAAGCGCACAATAACACTCGTAATGAATTGAAGCGCAGCGGAGCAAGCGGTCGCTAATCGCCAATTCCGCGTTTGAAGTTAGTTATCACACTTTATAAGTGTTCTGAGTCTGCTAAAAAACCGGTCTGCTAAAATCCCTAGCACCACCATATCAATATTGTCACTGGTTTAACTGCATTAGCGGTAGGGTGGGAAATAGCTCAGGAGATTCTGAAAAGGATTTGAGGGGCGTACCAAATCCTCTTAATAGGATTTGGAACGCCACTAGATACATCGAACCTGTCTCCTGTCAAGACAGACATAGTCATCTCGGTGCTTTGAATTTATATATCAATATGTTTTGGAATAAATCCAAATTTATTCTGGTAAACTATCTTGGGACAAATTGTTTTACTTGCAGGTGCGATAAGTTATCTACAGCACTCTTGTAATGTTGATTGGTTTCCTACTGTTGCATATTCCGCTTTTTTTTAAAGAACAGGAACATGGATGAGTTAACTTACAAGTAATCAATGTATTTAGACAAGTGACTTGCAGCTTAACTGGTGTCATAAGTTCTCAAGTATGCGACGCTGGGCAGACCTTCATTGCTGATAATGATCCCACCTGCTACGACCCTGGATCCGCAGCAGCACTGGCTCAATGCGATGCAACTGTTATGTGTGGACTAGATGGTATAACTGTGCATGTTGGTGACGATGCTGTCTTCGGTCAGACATCTGGCGCCCTTCAATTTGGAGACAATACTAATCCCTCGGCGCCAGCTGCTTCCCAGTGCCAGATATCTCACTCCAGCTCAAGTTACACTGGAACTCTTTTTTTCGACATCAGCAGGTCAGTGCGATTTTACAGCTAAGGAATTTCCTTGTGTTTTCCATCACAAAAAAGAGCATTTTTGAATCATTTTTTAAATGTATGATCTCATTCTTGATTTATGAGAGAATTGACTTTTTCAAGTGAAATGGTTGACTCACCAGTTATAATACGCTGAAAATATTTATAAATGAGGCTATTACACGTTTTAAATCAAAAGACAATCAGTTCTTACTCTAAACCAAGATATTTTTCAGCGCTGATGATTTCCCCAGTTTAATTTTTATCTGCAGTACAAAAAATTTTGGCCAATTTTGTTGAAATTCCGATGGAATCTTGTAGGGTTGTAATATGATGCCATATTTGCTCTACTATTGGCGCTTTCTTTAAGGTACCTAACTTTCAGAAATTGAAATTTATTTGCAGTTTGTTGAAACTCGTTTTGTTGATTTAAACGTTTTTGTTGATTTAAAATCGGGCGGAAACACCCATGCTGCGTCATAGTTTCTTTGCCTTTTGTAAAATGGTTGAAACAATAACTTCCATTCGTAATTTTGTTTCCAGACATTGACTTAATACTAAAAATGAACTAGACTGCCCGTATCAGGGCGAATCCCTGAATGTTCCGACTGCCTTTTAACATCTAAGATCCGTAGTATTCGGTTTAAAAAAATTGTCAAGGTTTCAAAGAAATGAAAAAAAATCAAAATTGTGCTTTTTTAGTTTTTTTAGCTATGTCAAGAATAGAGGCTATGTATTTTTTTTAGCTATGGAAAGAAGAAAATGATATATTTCGCATTAGTCAAAGTAAAAAATAGATTAAATAGCATCCCTTAACTCAATTGGAGCATTTTCTAAGCCGGATTATTAAATCGCAGCTTGTTAATGGCACAAAAAAAGCCCGCGCCCTAATTGTCCCAAAGTGGCAATACTTAAACCCCATAACTTCACGAAAAACGATCACAGGTGAAATATCTTAAATTTGACCTCAAGATAACAATACCTTTCGGAAGTCGGAGGAAAAAAAGCATCCCGAGCACAAATACTTCATGAGTTTCTTCGAAAGTCGCAACAATGATCATTGATCATTCATCTTGATATAAACTATCAAAAAATGAGATTGTTTCCACGCAAATCATGGTACAAACCAATGAATGTTACATGAGATTGAATCATATTTTTTCTGTCGTGACTTGAGCTGTTGTGAAAAATTGTCGTCAAGTTTATTGGGCGCAGTGAAAAGGGGTCTGAAAACAAGCTTTTTAGCGGTTTAAAATTATGTTTGCCTTCTTTAACATTCCATATGCGTTCAAGGTTTAATTATATCAGTTGCCTCTGTTTTTCTTAAAACCCGTACGCAATATCATGCCAAGTAGACTGGCTGCATAATATTATGAAAACAACGAGGCCTTTTTTATAAATTGACCACTCAATTGATACGTTTATTTTGTCACTTTAGCAATGGCCCCAATACTGATATTTGTGGTATTCCTGCGCCAACTGTGGGATCGGACACCGCTGGGGATGGATATTACATCCAGTACGAATTCCAGGTCATGCGATGGATTGGACGAGGAAGTGAAGTATTTGTTAACGAAAATACGGAAAGAGTAGAGGACTATGACTCCAGTACCGGAGTTGTGATCACCCGGGAGAAGTGTTTCATGTTGACGGTGCAGTGCAACTACAACCCAGACGGAACTGTATCGGCTTCCTACCAGCCGAGCACACCCAATGCCCTGGACGAACATGATGAGAACAGACTGGAGTTTGAGATGTTGCCGATCAATTGTGCCACTGGAGCAGAGATTAACCCCGTGGTTGTGTTTGTTGGTGTCGAAGTTTGCTTCGTGAACAAGATCACAACCGTTTGGCACGAGAACATCCGAATCAGCAGCACCCGATGCTGGGCTACACCCTCTTCTTCTCCAAATGACGCTGATTTTTACAGACTAACGGACCACGCAACTGTGCATGAAACTACTTTTGATTGGCTGTGTAATGGGGATGCTGGCAACCATGGTTCAACAAGTGGTTTTACGAACGCCGCATACGAGGAGGCTTTCAAATTCACTTCGTTCCGATTCCAATCAGAGACCAAAACGCAGATGCAGGATGTCGCCACATACTCACAAACCATCTATGTGCACTGCGAGGTGAACGCCTGTGATATTGGTGACATAACTTCCACCGATTGTGTTCCTCACTGCGGCGGAGCTGGAATCTCGAGGTCTAGGAGGGACACTAACCGACGTATCAACCCAATGTTGCCCAAACTGACCAAGACTCGAACTCTGAGTACTGCCATCATCATGCCTCCCGATGACAGAAGGTACTTGGAGACTCCCTCGTACAACCTGCTCTCGGACACTCTCAGTCTCGGCCTGTTCGCTGTCGGCTGTGTGTTCGGAGTGGTCGCCCTCGGAATGTTCTTCGTGATGCGTCGCCAGAACCAGCAACTCAAGTACCGAATCCTCAACGGCGAGTAAACATGTGTCTGGAGTGTAGAATGCATCACCGTTTGCTTCTGTGTATATAGCTGTTTTCTAAATCATGAAAAAAAGGACTTCATTTTATAGAATATACAAAATTATACTTGAATGGACTATATTAATTTTAAAGGATAATGCATGCAGAGAACTTACTCATTTATACAAAGCTGAGTTTTTCCCGTCCTGTCATATAATTGCTGCTTATGATTTTTCCTTTTATGGTATATAGTAGACGAAGGGAAAAGCTACGCTTAAAATTTTTGTAAAGTGGAAAATCAATATTTTTAGTCGGATGTACATTGTGTAAAGAGTAATTCAATTCTAAGCGCCTATGTTTCTTAATACGCATACAAGTTGTCGCTGACTTTCTCGACAGGTTTTGTCAAGTTGAGCTCAGGGGCGCATCCAATCTTGTTTTTTTTCTAGTGTTTTTTTTACTGTTGAAATGTATGCACATTTTTCTCAGAAGATTTTTGTTGATATCGAAGCAATAGTTTTTGAGCAAAGTTTGCGGGCCGTTTTTGTTATACAAAGTTACCAAATTGTGAATTGAGCAAGCAACCCTTTTTAATGAAAATTTAGATTCCTTTTCGCTATAATTAGTTTCAACCAATTAAATTTGAGCTTTATAATCAATTTTTTTTTCAAGAACTAAATATCTCGTCTATTGGGGGCGTTCGGGATGTTCTCCTTGATACGAGTAGACCTGTTGATTTTCATGCATCGTCTGATGATAAATAATTGAACTCCTTTTTTTGAAGGCGTTTAATTTAAATTATGCGTACCATAATGTATTACGTGTACTCGCTGTCATAGACTTCTATATTTGCTCATTTTGCTTTTACTTTGTCTTCAACTTTCACGCTTGCTCTCTGATTATACCAATTTGGTCCAATTTTTTGAAACGCCTTCTTAGTAACAAGCTAGTTTTAACAAACCACCTTTTAAATTGATTTACGTTTTACCATAGATGCTTTATTCAAAGCGTTTGTTTTGCGTTGGTTGATGAAAAGTTCTATGATGGTACATTTTTCTTACCTAACAACAATTTTTCAACGTTTAACGAGCCAAAAAGATTAATGTGTTGGTTGCACTTTCATTCTACTGTTTTTTGTTTATTAGACTGAGCTTTAATTGGCAGTAAGTCACTAAACTCAACATCTGGCTTTTGTGGGCTGTTGACAAAATTAGAAAAATACGAATGCCTGAAAACGTGCTTTGTACAGTGATTGTGGCAGTTGATAAAAATGGCGTTCTGGTGTCTGAATTTATGCAGCTAGTTAGCGCATGAAACGTACACGCAGTCATGGTATTAAAAAGCAGGCGATCTAATACATTTCCGGGCTACTTGAAAATTCGGATCAAGTTAAAATCCACTTCTGAGGATAAAGTTCTTTCATTCTTTTTCTAAAATATATTTCAAATTCAGGCCAGGCTGCTCGTATCAAGTTAAATTCATGATTATTTAGACTTCCCCCTAAAGTTTAGGTAATATATCTGATTAAATCTTTTTAAAATCTTCAGAATTTTTTCAGATATTTTTATAGAAATCTTTACAGTCGATGCTCGTAAAGTACACAATGATTTACATAGCCTCTTGAAATGTAATAAAAATACTTCTCGTATAGACACCAAGCCCTGAATGTTCCGACTGCCTCTTACATTGATCAAAATCGTTTTGATTGAAAAAGCCCCTAAAAGTTTAAAAATCTAATATGCCGCTTAGTCTTTTATAGGACTAAATAAATCAATCGTGTATTAATTATCCCATTTTTAATTCTAGTCCTCTATGTACTCACAAAATCGAACCAATACAATTTTGCAAAAATTTATCATACGTGAAATAATTTTTTTAATTTGAGCCCAGGGAATCAATACCTTTCAGACTGTATTGAAGATATCCGTTAAAAATTGCTAGTTGAAAAGTCGAAATTCAATAAAAAAAAAACAACTCGAGCAGAAATAATTCATCACTTTTTTCGGAAAAATAATGCCAAATAGCTCGCCTGTTTTTTTGGAATAATTTATGAGCCGGATTGATTTGTCGCTTGAACTTAAATAGAACGAAACATATCGCGCGTTAATTGTCCCGAATTGGCAATTTTCAAACTCCCGTAACTTCACAAAAAACGATCTCAGGTAAATTAATCTTGTTAAAATTTGAGCTCAATGCGTCAATGCATTTGAGATGGTTTAAAAAAAATAAGTTCAAAACTGGCTTAAAAGTACGGAAATTGTGCGAAGAAAACATAACCACATCCATAGATTTACGAAAATCAATCACAGGTATATTTTTTCACAAAACTTTGAAAGCAATACGTTAGTAACATTCAGAAAATATCCAAATTTATGTTCAAATGTTGCTAATTGCGCTTGCAATTAGTAAACATAATAAAATTGGAAAAAAGGCTCGTTTTTTAGGGTAACAACTTGCTTAACAAAATCGCTTGATAGCTTGTTTTATAAAAATTTCAAGTTTGTTGGCTTCTCCGAAACGCTTGGCTTAGAGGTAACAAACAAGCCCAGCAAAAAAAGGTCCTAGATTCGAATCCTGTCAGGACTGTCTTTTTTTATGAAAACTTTCCGTTTCAATGAATTGTCGAGCTTCCGTTTATGTGATTTTTCCGACCAGGTTCATGTGATTTTTCCGAAAATGGATAGGAGTTATGTATTCGGTGTGTTTTAGTTTTTCTATCTGCAAACAAATTTTGCAATTTCATTTCGAATTTGTTTTAACAATTGCTTTCTTGTCTTATTTCTACAAAACTGTTTTCTAACTCGCCTATTTTACTAAGACTTGAATATGCATAAGTTTCCTTAATTTGTCAGTTTTTTTCATCACAATACCCAGAATAGACTATTTTAAGACTATGGTCGGAAGATTCTGTGCTATGTGCGTCTTCTTATTTAACACATCGTTGAAGTTTCTTGTATTGTAAGCTATTTTCATTAAAAGTCCAAGTGTTCGTATTCCGACTATTTGAAAAATGGAGAGGAACTTTGTATTCGTATGTGTTTTAGTTTCTTTTTTTTTGTTTTCTCCGCAAAATCAGTTACCACAAACAATTATTGGATTGGGTGGAGTGATAAATCATATTAAAGTCCTTTGGGCATGATTCGAATGACTTTATGAAATGTTCAAACAGATCTCGCATTGTCGAGAAAAACTGGCTAAATGTTTTGACTCGAATAAAGAGACGATAAGGCTTAAAATTTAGACTTAAAAACCAATCTTATTTTTCTAATTTTAGAACCTTCATTTGGCTTTTTGGTGAGAAAAGTTTTCGAAAAAGTTTTGTGCACAAAATTTGATTTTTTTTTGTTTGTTTTTCTTTTTTTGAAGGCAACTGCTGACGCTGATGCCCAATTTACTAACTTTCTGTATAGATTTTGTGTATAGTTTTCTCGACACACCACTTACAAGAAACGACACTAATTTGATAAAATTTTCGTAGAAGTTTTTTTTTGAATATGAAAATTTTGTGCTACTTACACAGCAACTGGCTGTTCTTGTTCTTTTAATGTGTAATTTTACAATTGTTTTTTTTTGTTTATTTTTTCGTTGAAAAGTTTAATTGTTGTAAATGATGGTTTTGGCTCATGTTTTTTCTTGATTTTGCGTCATTTGAAGGAAAAACTATTTTTACCCCTCCTGCGGTAATACAAAAGATTAAAAGTATTTAAAATAAACCCAGAACTTTTATACTTTATGAGACCAACTTTTATTTTCGGCTCAAATGTTCTCGGCTTTTTTACCTTCCAATAATGGTTCCTCAAAGCTTTCTTTTTTGTCTGCTAGCTTGCAAAGCTATGTTTTGTGGCATTGCAAGTCGTGCCTAGCTGTCGAAGTAATATTGAAGGAAAAAGTCACTGAATAATATAAACGACCGGTAAACGACATGTAAGTTTGAGCTCAAAACGTCAATATAAAATTTTCCGGCCAAACATTTTTGCATCATTAAAATTCTTGGCGAGTTTTGTCTTCGTCATTTTTACCTTATTTCAACCCACTTTGAGATCAACTTAAGTTTTGCACATCTCTGCCGTTTTTGTATTTGGCCAATAGAAATATTAAGTACCTAGAAATGTTTACTTTCTTTCAGATTTTTCTCGCTTTTTTTTTTACAAATTTTAAATTACTGAAATCTGATGGGCGGATTTTCATTTTCGCGCATTCGGTCCTTCGCGTATGAGGGATTCCACCACAAATGTCGCCACAGAGTGAAATAGAATTTCATGATGCCCGTATTTGTTATCTACGCCTGCTAAGCTGACCATTTCACGATGGTATGTAAGAAAAAGGGTGTTTATGTAGCCGTTATTCTGATTGGAATACCGCAATCTTTTGAAGGCTTACTCTTCAAAGCTTGATTTTGTTTTCCTTTGAAAAATTTGGATTTCTTTTCTTTTCGCCTTCGCCTGTATGTAAACTTGTGTTTGTCTAAAAACTATTTATTGGTAGTGATTGTTTTTTTTGTTTTTTTTTCAACCATGTAAGAAAGTTCAGTATAGTTCTTTCTAATTGGCAATTGTACTGTTTTGAAATTAATCCCCAAAAATTTTTTGATGATATGAGTAAACTTTTTAGATAACTTGTTAATGAAAGAGGTGAAAACACTTATTTTAGTCGTGTAATTTTTTTTCGAAACAAAGTCTTAAATTTTGAAATGGATCAGATTTATTTTTTTTGCGATTTGACGTATGATTTTTTCAAATGAATTTTGTTAAAGGAAAATTACACTTTTCAATAATAAAACGGGAAGTGGAAATGGCGCAAAAAATCGCGAGTGACTTTTAGTTTTGAAAGTGGAAATTAATTCTGAGATTTCCCCGCGGAGGAAAAAAATTAACCTCATGACCCAGTTTTTTAAATTGACTTAATTTGTCGTAAAAATCTTTCCTAACAGATCCCCAAATTTTCTTTTGCTTTATTGTGATGTTTTTTTTCCAGAAAAATTGAAAGTTGAGATATCTGTTAACAAAATTAATCCTTGTCTTGTTCAGTTTACTTTCTTGCATTTACTCTTTTCCAACTTAGTACGCTTGCGATTAGCAAGCGTTATCAAACTGGAATATAGATTTTTTTAAATAACTTGTTTTCAACAGAATCACTTGTTTATATAAATGATTATCTGTGTATATATATATACTTAATTTATGATTTTCTTTCTGGAATATTTTGTATGAGAAATGTTATCATGGGAAAAAAACAGACCTCGAAAAAACTGTCGGCCATTTTTTTGTCTGCTTATCTGTTGTCAGCTTAGTTGTCAAGTAGTTTAAAACGGCCGAACTTTGCTTTGTCTAATTGGTATCACAAATATTGGGCAAA